GCGTATCAAATTGTAAATAAGTTAACATTGTGTTTTAAATTATTTATTGAAGTATTATTAAAATATCATTTATTAAAGTATCATTTATTGGAATATTATTAAAATTGAGAGAAATGAAAAAGGATTCTTATCTTTTTATTACAATTATTATCAAAAGTATACATTTTTAAAGATGAGAAAATTTTTTCTCTTAAATTTTCATTTCATCCAATTCATCCTAATATTTTGTAAATAAAGTGTACATTCTTTACTTCTCATTAATTTCTTTCAATCTATTTGATAAAATTTAAAAATCAATTATTTATATGAAAAAGTTATGGTTAGGTAAATTTGATCAATTTGTTATTCATTAATAATACCTTACAAATTACTAATATCTAGGCGCATTTATCCATAAGTTTTATGGTTAGGTAAATTTGATCAATTTGTTATTCATTAATAATACCTTACAAATTACTAATATTTAGGCGCATTTATCCATAAGTTATCTTACTAATATATGGTAATGAATCAAAACGTTACCATGGTAAATGACAATTAATGAATGCAATCATTTTGCTCAAATGAATTGAATATTTTATGGTTTTATTGATTGTTTTAATGGAATTTTTTTTCTTTTATCAACATTTTTAATCATCCTTGCCAGATTCAATTTGCCAAATGATCATTAATTTGACATTTGCGCATCGTTACCATTGCTCAATAAATAATTGGTTCCGATTATTTTTTTTAAAGATAAAAATTGCTAACAATATACACAAAGCTGATATATGTATCGACTGATTGAAAATTTTAATCATATGATCAAAAGATTGATAAATTGTTGATAAATAATAAGATAAATTGCTGATAAAGATTGTTGATAAATGATAACACGTATTGTAGTTTTATCATAATTTATGGAAAAAATTTTCAAATATCTTTTCCAATTGATAATTTTTATCGGTGGCAATTAAAATAAGTGAAAAGTTTCATATGTAATAGGTAAATAAACAAGCAATGATAAAACAAACAAACAAAACGAACATTCAATAAATAAAAATAATTTTGACAAAACAAACATCCAATAAATAAAGCTAATAATCAAAATAAATGAATAAATAGGTAAGACATAAGCTGTTCAATTCATAATTTGCAAATAAATTAAAAGGTGTAGCTTAAGTAAATTGATAATTAATTACTGCTTTAAAATTTTCAAAATTTTCCCATGCTTGATTAATTTTTCATCATACAATATGAATTATGTGAATACATGGAAAGTAATGAGCTACTATTAGTGGAATAAATTAATGATCAAAAGACAATAAGAAGAAATAATGGAAATAATTAAAATCTGCATATGATATAATTAACAATTAAGATTAATAAATTATAATATGCAATGATTTACAGCTCGGATAATATACTCGATCATTGTGATAATAGCAGCAACCAATTACACTTTTTTAATTGTAAAAATATCATTTGTTTCCCAAATTGTTTTTTGTATTTTAATTCCGTTTAAAAATGAAAATGAAATATTCAAACTGATATCTGAAATAAATATATTAAATTAAATATGCGAAAATTTCACGAGGCATTTGTTAATCTTTTCAAGTAAACTTAGAAAAAACTTGAAATTGTGCATTAATTTAATTTTTGGTCAATTTAATTAGTGGCTAACATAAAATAAACTTTGCATTACGTTTCTAAAATTTTGTATCTATTGCCGCAAAAAAATAATAAATAAGAATGGATAAATGATTGAATATAAAATTTTATGAACGATTAAATGTGATTTTGAATATCGTATTTGATAAATCCATTTCGGATATTAATTTAATTCTCCATTAATTATCATTTTTTCTTTAACATCAAAAAATTAACTAATCAATGTCCTCATGCAAGGATTGATTTGGCATTTAATTCCTGACTACTTCGGATAAGCTATTAAATAACTGTCTTAATGAAAGATTGACATTTAACCTCACCTATCATAAGTAAGATACTAACTAACCACTGATACGTATTTGGTACATTAATGTTGCATTTCACATTAATGAGTCTCATATAGAGATGACAGTGATGTAAATATCGAGGAAGAGGTGGAGCTAAAATGCAGCGGTGTTGTCATCGCTTTGTGCGCTCTTTTATCCTTCCCATCTTCAATCAATGAGGTTGACCGCTGGTCACTTTTGTCCAATACAACTGATTTACCTTTTCATTGATGGCAATAAATGAACCATTATTTGCAATATTATTGTTTCAGTTAGTTAGTTTACATACTGTTGTAGCACTTTTCTTTCTCACATTATTACTGTTTGAGTAAATTGACAGTTCAGCTTTTCGGCTTTCATTTTATTTTACTGCTAAATTTGTATATTGTTGTAAATATATGGTACTTAATTAATTAATTTGCACAAGTGTTGTTACTTGAAAGGTCAAGTACATTCGTTAATTTCCTTTTTTTTCTTCCTTTCCACTAACCTTTCTCATAATGTTATTTACTTTTTGAAAATGTTATTCTTTGGTTACGTCATTTTTACACCATCACTCTTTCATTCTTATCAGATTCTATCTTACTGCAAAATGTATTTTAAATGTTTGAATTGTCAGTTTGCAACGTTCAACTTATCAGAATTAATTGAAAAGTTAATATATAGTGTTGGAAGTTAAAATTTAACCTGCAATGTTTTGATGAAAAATGAAAATTGGATCAATCTGTTGTTTGATAAATGAATTTAATAACAAATCAAAGGGATGGGATGACAGGAATAAGAACAGGAATTGAAATAGGAATGGAAATGATCGATTGCACCAGCAAACAGATTTCTTGCTGAATCAGAATACGACCAAACTAACATCTGGTGTTGCTATTGGCTTCATGCATCTGTTTGATCGGATACCGCCTTGTTGCGACTTATTGCGTAGCTTTCAACACTGAATCAAACATTTTAAATTAAGCAATTTGTCAAGTGATACATATTTCAATTCAAATTAAAATTTGTATTCAATTTATTCATGATTTCTGGTTTCGAAATTTCAAAATTAAACAAAACTTTAAATGGATACAACATCATGCATACAATATCTTCATATCATGCATATATTTATAACTGAAAACTTGCAATAATTGTTACTGCTCCATCACATTAACCTATGCAATTAAACGACCGTACGGGTCAGGTCATTAATTAAGCATTAATAATTTAATAATTTCATCTGTTAGAGAAGGCGTACTTTATAGGAATATGTATTCCTCAATGTATTTTATGCGAAATAATACATTATAAAGGATGGCATAATATTCTGGATAATTAAGTGGGAATAACAGTCATCCATGACATTTCATGAAATGAATTCTCTGAAATCTTAAAATGATTCTTCGTTATATTGTTGTAATTATGTAAATTAGTTGGAAGCTAATAATTCTATATATTTGTGTAATACAGAAGTAAACAATTACTATTATTTTTATATAATTTATAGAAGCAGTAGATTCCAATTAATAGAATTACGTGTTATATTTTATGTTCTTTCATCCTTACTCATACTTTTTCATCGAATACAACAATTCAGATTGGAATGATATGAATGATAAAGTGAAAATTGTCATGATTGTTTGGTTTTATTTCCATTTCTTTTATTAATTTTATTCGTTAATTTTTGATAGAAATATTTTTATTTGTTTATTTATTTATTCATTTATTTATTTATTTATTTATTTATTTATTTATTTATTTATTTATTTGTTTGTTTGTTTGTTTGTTTGTTTTTGCTCCTTTTTAAACAAGATGTCGATAAAATTCGTTCATATCAATATGAAAAGAGAGGAAAAAGCGAGGGAGGGAGAAGAAGAGTAAAAGAGAAAGAGAGAGATATAAGTATTAGTTTATTGAAAATTAGGAAAGCTTTAAAAAGGATCGCACGCTAGTCGAAAATTGGCTAACTTATA